ATGGTAGAATTGGGTATATTTTAGTAAAGAAACAAAGTGTCAGTCATTTAGGACGATTTAAATTAGAAATTTCTCAAAATCTTTTGAACAAAATTATTTTTCCTAGTGTTAGTAAAATCATGACGTCATCACTCTTTAACGATTTTTAAGCCTTATTATTTCTTTTAAATGCATGGTGACCCCTACTTTTCTAACCAGAATTTGACAACTCTGTGATAGGTTAAAATAATTCACATAGTCATTTAAAAAAAGAATTGATTGTCAATTAGTAGACACCGTCCTTAAATATACTAACTCTGAGCGATGGCCTGCACACTGGCAAACTATCTGGGTAAGTGTATATTGAATTTTGAACGACAAAACACTCAGTCCCCTACAATTCCAATCGGTCTCAGATTTCTGATTTGAGATATCCAGCCGACAACGTTTTTTGAAATAGGTGTATACTACCTATGACAAGGACAAGATAACTGAGCTGGAATGACAAAATGCAGCCATATTTTCTCCCAACTAGCCGTCAATATTTCGTGTTAGTGAGTAGTAGTTCAGACCTTTTTCAAGGCTTTTTTTTATAAACTTGAACTTTTCAGAAGAAAATTTACTGAATTTTGATCGGAGATTTTCAGTAGATCATCTGACGAACCCTCTGCATTTGGTTCAGTTATATAAGGGGCGGAGCTTGCATATTAGATATAATATACATGTGATGAAAATGGTGGCTGACCAACAGGAACGTGGGCGGATTAGTAGCTTTATATTTGCTCTGTACCATGAAATCTCTATTCTCTTTCGGTTTTCTCTCGCATTTGTGATGAAAGCCTAAACCATGGAGTTTGTCGAGTACATAAAGTCTCCTCGAATTGAAAAGGTGTTGTTGAAACGTCGTCATGGTACTAAAGTGGAAGGAACATTGTGTGTCACTGGACATCACCTGATATTCTCTTCAAGAACTCAACACGAGGAAGAATTATTCGTAAGTAGTAATACAATGTTTGGGTAAAGGAAATAGTTACCGATTCATATCAATAAATTTTATATTGTGACTATTTGGAATCCTGATAGATGTCGCTGTAGAACGCTATAATTTTGGTTCATCACCCTAACCTTAATGCTAACCGGCCTTTTCTGACCAAGAATGCGGTTCCCTGCGCCATCTTGAAAGGTAGTCGTGCCTTTGCATCGAAGCTAGACGAACGGTGAGCTTGCAAAGATAGAAATCTTTTTAACACCTTGGGCAATTATTCACATAATTCGGCGTGTTTGGCCGTATTTTACATCTACGGCACTTGAAATTTCTCAACTAAAAACTTAATTACGAATATTTATACAAAGAAGAACCATAAGAAAATAATGATAATAGTATATCAATTAGTAATTATGATAATTATCAAAATTTGGACAGGAAAGATAATTTGTAACAAAAATACAATAGTTAGCTTATATGGGATTATAGAGGGATGATGCAATTAAAAACTAAAGACAATAATAAAACTAGAGTTTTTCTGCACAAATACCTTACGAATGTTTATATCATTTCTCAACATTCTAGGTATAGTTATTTGTTGACACCTTATTTTGTTTTCAAAAGTAAGAATGAGACCACTACAAATGAGATTCGCTTCACTATTTTAGGAAGCTAGACAAAAACTTTGACAACTAAAAGATATAATAAAAGGACAATCATTTCTAAATTAGGTTTTCTTAATTAGGTTTTCTGATTGAATAAAAGTAATATATTATACTTTCTCTGTACACATTTCTTTACCTTAGGTATAGTAATTATTCTTATTAGTAAGTAGTTATTCATTGACACCTTGGGTAATTGGGTAATTGATAAATGGTTCAAACCTGGTAAAGCTTTCTGTACCATCAAAAGCCAAAAGCACAGGTGCAGTACTCATTGAGGGGACCCTTTTCATTTCTTGTGACGTAGTATCTTATGTTCCCTAACATTGATAACAAGACAGTGCAGTTATTAAGACMTAGATTTAATAGATAGCAAATTCTCTCGATATAGATCTATGGGGCACCAACCTTGTCAGAAATACATGATATAATATATAAGACTGAACATAGATTTAAATGACATGTCCGAATATGTATATATATATATATAACATCCAATATAAAGTGCTTGTAAGCCCCCGTTAAAATTCATGATAGTTTTGATTCATCAGCTTTTTAATTATAAATTAAGCCAAGCTTTCGAGCATCTTGCTCTTCATCATCGCAAACGGTTGTGACAATCTTCACAAAAAACACGCAACATAACAATGTGCGCGTGCTACAGCTAAATGTATCAGTTGCTAGGAGCCCGCGTTACAAAGGAATAATTAATTGGTTTTCAACAAAGTTTTCAACTATAGTTTTTTTTTTGTTTTTTTTTTGTAAAAATTGCAAAGAAATTGTTAAAACGAAGCAAAAACTTATGGATGAAATCATGGAAGAAAAGAATTAGCTACAGAGTGAAGATAGAGGTTAGGACATTTTTTGTTTCTTTAACCAATTATTGTATATTTTTTTGTTCATTCAGGTCCCATCGGCAAAACAAAGAAGATTTTTATTCCCATTTTGCATTATTTTGTATTTTGTCTCAGTTGTTCTTGTCAAGTTTAACTGAATGTAAACTTTGTTTTTTGGAAACTTTTGTCATTTGTGATTTCACTATCTTTCTCACACTGCCTTATGTTATGGCTTATATGAAAGGAATCTCAATATCTTAATGAAGAATTAGGTAAGGAAAACTTTTTTAACTGACACATTTGGTGTTGACATTCAGGGCCTTTATTTGACTAGTTTAGTTAGTTAATGATCTCCAGCTAATTATTTCTCTGATGCTACCAAAGCAGTTATTTGTTTATTTTCATTGCGCTTAAAATATGGTTCACATACAAACATAAAAGACCTATAGAAAACCAAACATTATGCTATGCAAAAGACGTAAGTATAAAGCTTTTTTTAGCTCACCTTTATTTAACTAGTTTTCAAGTCTGTTTTATAGTCTTGATTTTTCTGAAAAAATTCTGGAATCTCCAAAATTTCCATTTCAGTGAAAGATATTCAAGTTGATTTTTACTAAACCTGGTATTGTATTGGTGTTATCTTTAGTAAGTAAAATTATCCAGGAATTCAAAGCTAAAAAATGTCGGACATTAAAAACTTTTTTGAAGAATCTTCCATAACAAAACTAGCCCCTGAGGGTAGTCCTGAGTTGTGTACAAAGTTCCTAAGTGGGAGAGTATACTCACACAAAGAAAACGATGTAGTGCATTTCAATTTGATTTCACTGCATGGTTTTTATTATGGGAGGCATTACCTTCATCTAGAATAAAAGAAAATTAAGATTTTTTTCCTGATTTTATTTTTTCCTTGTCAGATTTATTCAAATTGGGCTTCCTGTGACTTGTGTATGGGGAGCTCTGCCCAAATATATATATTATTTAGTTAGCAATCTTTAAGAAAAATTGCAACCGTAGTTATTCATTTGCTTTATATTACGGACATATAATTTTAAGAATTGTACTGCCAATCAGCAAGTTCACTGTGCCTTAGAAAGACATTTAAAAATCTTTGAAGAAGATAAGATATAGCATTCAAAACATAACAATTGTTGTGTGCTGATGAGCCAGAAATTAAGACTTATGATTGAATTAATTTAACACGAGATGAGTGTCCACCCTCCTCTGGGCACTGCCTAAAGGCATAGCTCCCATTAGGCACAGGGATCCCAATTTAGTAATTCAATAAAATATCAAGATAAGTGAAATTTTCCTTGGATGTCTTTCATTGGTTTACAGTCATTTCACCCATGAACCATTTCTTCCACGCATAAAATCATCGATCATACGTTTGCCAATTCGCCCACGCCAATTTGTCCACGTGTAGAATCACTTTAAGAAATATATTACCATGGCTAAAAAAAAGTGCAGTCGAACCTCTATTAAGCGGCACTCTATTAAGCGGTCACCCTCTTTTCAACGGTCACTTACTAAAGTCCCAAATTTTCTCTCTCATGTATACTGTAAACTTGACCCCTATTAAGCGGTCACCTCTATTAAGCGGACGCGGTCACCATATCAACGTACCAATTTGTAAAACTTGCATTGTATTTCACCTTTATTAAGCGGTCACCTATACTGATTACACATTGATGTATTATGACACCAAATACATAAAACATGTCAACATTCTTTTAACAGTTGTTTAGATAGCATAACTTCAATAACAGATGTTCGTATTTTACGTCACTGTATATAAAGCAAATCCGCAGCACTAGCCAGTTTGTTTCGGCCAATTTCCACTTCGCGCAATTCCACGGTCACGAAGAGCTGTCGCTAGCGCTTAGCAAAGTGAATGACATGTTTCATGAACTTAAGTTGTCTGCCCCTAAATTACAAACAACCATAACTGAGTTTTTTTCATAATACTGTACTGTACCTTAAACAAATCATGTTTACACCAGTGATGTGAATTTTGTGATTTTTTATAGCAAGAACAAACCACTGTATTGTACGTACATAGTCATGCAATGTTGTTCTTCAGTTTGCGACGAAAAAAAATATTTTGAGTGAGCAATTTTGCACTTTATTGCTCTATTTTCTAGTGTTACTGTTTTGTAAGAATAAAATGTACATTTAGTGATCAATTATGCACTCTTTCGTTAATTTTCTACAAAATGTGGCCTAAATAAGTAAAACCTCTATCAAGCGGTCAACCTCTATTAAGTGGTCACTTGGCTAAGTCCCGTGGGTGACCGCTTAATAGAGGTTCAACTGTAGTTCGTGATTTACCAACCTTTTATTTACAATTTACTAGTCKTTATGTTCAATAAGTTAATACACTTGAACGTGTTGTTAAGAAGCACCCACATCTAAGCTAACTCTCCCAAATCTAAGCTAACAACAACTCTTCATGGTAGATAAAACTCGGGAACTGTACTGGTTAGTTCACTAACATTTACACTGGTTTCCGGTTTATAAAGTGTTTCGTGAGTTATGGCGTATAAAAAGTTCGCGTTTTGAAGTCTTGAGCTTAAGCGTCAAGTAAGGTTGGTAAATCATGAACAATTTTTTTTTAGTCATGGTAACATATTTCTTAAAGTGATTCTACACGTGGGCGAATTGGCGTGGGGAAATTGGCAAACGCATGATCGATGATTTTATGCGTGGAATTGGCATGGGTGAAATGGTCCGTGGGCAAAATGACTGGTTACCCTTTCATTAAAATCCAAATCAAAACTATAAGACAGACTTGAAAACTTGTAAAAAAAAAGAGCAGTCAATTCCAAAAGTCACAAAACAACTTATAAACTGGTACCTATAAACCAGTGATATAATAAGCCGGCTAGTCGGTTTTTTGACAATTATATAGCATCTTGAATCAGTTGTTGTTGTTTTTTTACATAAAACGATAAACTTTATATAAAACATGGCCATGGTACAAATGAATAGATAGACCATGAATTTCATTGAATATTCTTGGGAATAATCACTTCAAAATCATCTCTATCTTCTCGGCTTGAAATCCTTGATTGTGAAATTGATAAATTATTAATATTTCTAGTTCGGCTGTCTCGAATTACAGTGGTCAACAAAATAGAGCATGCGTAGACATAAACCTGTGCCACGTGATCCTCTAGCTCTGCCCTCTCATAATCAATTGACAGCATAGTGACATTGGTTGACATCTGGTACATGATAATTGATTGGACTATAGATGGGAACCCTATAGCAGATACCCGCAAAGGTCTCTTGGGTAAGTTCCTGAAGACCCCTGGGTACTATTGTGCAACTTGTTCAATTTGTGGAATCAGAAAAAGACAAAGGCATTTCATAGCTGGTATACCACAGGTATCCCAGCAATAAGTTTAAAGTGCCTATGACACCTAAATCAAAATTTTCAGCATTGTGGATCAATGAAGGAAAAAGTTAAATAAAAAAGTTAAATTTTATATGTGTGATGCATCTTAGAGATATCAAGGGTTATACTTCAAATATGTTAATGATGTGACGTCAAAGGAGCTAGGCATCATTAAATATACAAAACTTTTATGAAAATTTGTTTGGGTGGCCTTGGTTGGTGTAGTCGCACAGTAAATAAATGTTCTAGCAAAAAAAAATCTCATAGTAATGAGTGTTTCGATTTCCATGTAATGGCAGATTAACTGACATGCATCCTTTGATGTGACATCATTAACATATTGGGAGTGAAAACCTTGATATCTTCGAAATTCGTCCCTCAAACCATATAAAATAATTTACTATTTTTAATAATT